TGTTGTAGAATGTGATAGGCACGCAGTTTGTTAATAAAAATCCAGTTGGGGAGTTGCAACAATAAAATACTCGTTTCATCAGCAAAGTTAACCGTTATTTTAAGAGGCCCCTTGCATTCCTTTTTAATATCTAGTTCGATGTTTGCGTTCTTAATAGATACAAGGTATCTGGAGATCTTAAATGTTGATAACATTCCCCATGGAACAAATAATTAGAATAATTATTCAGAACGCTCTAGATTATCATGGTTTTATTGCTCGGCTAAATGGTTTGCCCAAACAAACTCAAGAGTTGTGAGGAGTGGGAGAACGAGTTATCTGAAATCTGCAATCGATTAAAAAGCAATTTGTTTAAACTCTTCAAGACAGCTTTTAATTCATATCTGTAGTCAGCCAAAAGCTATTTATGATATACGCAATATATAAAGCTAGATTGACAATCGCCGAACGACCACATATTCCTAAATTTTTCGGCTATCCTAGCCCATGGGCATATTCGGCCCGCCAGTTTCAGGCATATTTCTTGTTTTTTGAGCGCAAATGTTGATGATAAAAAGTCTGCTCTTTATCCGTAGAACGAAACTAAGCTTGTGTAAAACGCCTTTTTGTTCTCTGCATCTACCTTTAAGCATTGTGTAATAAAGTATTTAAAACAAAATATATGAAGCTCGTTCCACCGTTATTTAATTGAGAAGCCCGCCCTCAATAAGACTAGACCCTGCAAAATGGATTGTTTGGCCTGCTTTTTTGTTTGAAGATACTCATGTACAGGCAACGTCTTAACGAACGTTCCAACATTTTCTGCTTAGAATGCGCTGTAAGACAGACTTAACCGCTCAATGTGATGAAAAACTCGTGCATCAGTTATGGCGCTGTAGATTTTCTGTACATTGATGGACTTAGTTGGATTCATGTCGATCAGCTGTTTGCCTACAAGACCAATCTATTTATCGTTTCCCTTTGTTATATGGACTGCTAATTAATTTTGAAACCTAACATGTTCTTCGCATTCCACCAGAGGCTATAAAATTTGAAAATAAGTGTATTTAAATTGCAAGAAAGTAATGAACGCAGTAATATGTTTTCTATAAGCGCATAATGAGCAAAATTACCAATCCAACGGGAATTCCTATTGGAATTTTAAAAGTGCCATCCAGGTTCCACCGCAGTATTTTCTTATTCCATTTTGTTAGATGTCTGTTTCACGATCATTTTCATGTGCTAAATTCCTGTATGGACGAAAGCGCTAAGAGGCAGTATTTTTAATGTGTGCTTAGAAATTCAAAAACGAAAACGGCAGAAGTAGCAAAATCTTTCCAACAGCGAGAAAAAATCCGTCTATTCAAGTTTTCAGTGGATATCAATTGGATCGAGATTTTAGCGAATAATATGGCGCATGAAGATGCCGGGGATATACTCATATTCACGTAAATGCGGCAGACTGGGCCGAAAACGTAAGCTGCAAATTTCCTACCTTAAATTTTTAGTTGACACATCATTCATTTGTACGTCGACAGTCGGTATTTTTGTTCATGTTACAACAATCTTTATTTCAAAATAGGCCATAGTCTATACTTTCTATAAACGACGGACGATTACCGGTGTGTGCCTGACGAAATACATGAAGAAATTATGAAGCATTTGTATAGACTTAAATAGTTGCTAAAAGAAGTGCCTTCAGGGAAATATTCCGCTATGGTATGCACGGTGTAATTGTCTTGGTAAATGTAGAAAGGGAATATCTATGATGATGAAAACTGCGGCCATCGTTTTATACAACTTTTTATATTTTGTTATGCGCATCTTTGCTTTCGATACACAACACTTTGCCTTACTACGTACAATATTACTGACAGCACACATAACTGCGCAGACAAACTGTTTACTCTGTTTCTGGTACAATAAGCAAACAATGTTAGAATAGAAAATGTTTGTCATACCGATGACTCACGTCTACTTTGACATTAATCCATATCTCTATAGCGGAAAAAAATTTTGAAGTGTTCTTTAATGTTCACGACACCGATTAGCCAAAAGGATGTGTTTTTATAAGACAGAAGGTAATAAATAAAGAAAGTAATAATGTCTGCACTCGATATCTGCAAGTGTTCCTCAAAATTCGGTTTATTTTTTTTAATAATATTTATATAGGCGGATTGTCCGTTGCAGTGTTACACACCTTCAGAGGTACCAAAACAATGAAGTCGACAGAGTTGATTCATACTGCCTTCATAAGATTTCATAATCTACCTATAAAACGTCTGATTACAATATTTACACGATACCGTTTAACCTATTGGCATTTGCTTCAACCAATAGTGTTTCGGGACCAGAGGGGTATTTTTTGCACTTTATGTGAATAAATGTATAGAGAATCAGCAACTGTACCCATGCGTGAAGGGAACACTTGTAATAGGAGTGGGCAAACGAAACTTATAATATTGCAGAAAATCTCACTTAGTGCCTTTTGCAAATTACTGACTTATTTCCAACATTCTTACCTATTCTTTCTAATCTGTCTGTCAATCACCCTTTGTCGAACCCATTTCAAAAACGTCTCCAACGGTACTAGAGTCATAGTATTGCGGTTAAGCGAACATAGTGATAAAAACATACATATAATGCAGCGCGTAGTCTGCATCTACAACGCTTTGCACAACACAAATACGACTTTAGCAGCAAGCCGTTTTGAATTTAATATTTAAGGACATGGTTGGGTATAATAAGATTTGGCAGCATGTCACTGAGCAAAGTGTACCATTTTTACTATATAATACGTCCCATAATAGACACGTTTTGTGGTTTTTTTAGAAGCCGGTAATGTTTCGCAAAAGCCTGTGAGTCTAAAACAAGCACAAATAATGAGTGAAACCTCGATTAACATGTGTCTTTCGTTAAATATTTAAGAAACGATAATGCTTTGATCGAATGAACTATCTGTATGATAAAGCCGTTGTTAACATGAGAAACCTGTGTCAAAATTACCAAAAGTAGCAAGCGAAAGTCGTTAAGTTTCAGTATAACAGATCACCTATTGAATTCAAATGCGTCCCTGATCGCTCTTAATGTTCGTTTAATAAAGTTTATATGCCGGCACATACAAGAAACAAAAAAGTTCCTTATGCGTATGTGCTGCTGTAAGCTACAATCATTTTACCATGCAGCGCTTAAGACAGCAAAAGTCTTACAACATTTTTAGGAAAAGTACGCACTGACTCATCTCTTTCAGTAGTCCTACAAACATGCACAGAAGAAATTAGCTTGCTTTTGGTCATAATATGCAGAATTTTACCGACAAAATCAATGTTCAGCAATCATAGCCAATGTAGGGGAAATTGGTAAGGAATGGTGAAGTCAAAAGCAGATCCTTTTAGGCAATAACTTCATGCGTGTACCACATCGTAAGGCCATTTTAGAGGTTTTTGGCCCAGTTCCAGGGTTGGTCAATAAATCAGACCTCAAACCTGCAAATCAGTCAAAGAATGAATTATTTTCCAAAAAAATCATTGTTTCAAAAAGTATAGTGTGAAATTTATATAATACGCCAAATGAAAAGCTCTTTGTACATGGCCGCATACTTCTGATCAGTGAGCTACTCCGAAAATTAGATAAATGCACATAAAGGAAGGATTCGGTTAACGAAACCTTCAAATTTGCTATCAGATGTATTTTTGAGTCCACAAAAATGTTTTCGAGTAATCTTATTCCGCTAAGATATGAAGCACGTTTCTGTGATGTCGGATCTAATAAAGAAACCGTAATTTTATGTATAAAAATGATTTAATTTTCAAAATTAAATTAAAATCCATTTGAATTAACATAGCTTATTAAAACCCTCAGTTATTGTCAATATGAATAGGCAGTACAAATGCAGACCACACGATATTGCTCGTTAAATAATGCGACGGGTACTTTCATTACTGAGTAATTTATTTCTAAATTATCAAATGCCCTCTCCTCTTTTTGGACTATGTTAGACGTGACTAAAATAACTTTCCCATATTATCTGTCATCACAAAGCAAACAATCCATGGATATGCGCTGAAATAACTTCACACGTATTCTTTTGTATAATGCAACATCTCACTTGATGACTTAAACGAATAAAAACTGTCACACTTTAGATGAAAAAAATTCACATTATATTTTTGCATAAACTGTAAAATAATAGGCAACAAATGTCAAATTAAAACCTAAACGTTACCTGAACAGTCACTATACTATGCTCTAACCGACCTTGTAATAGACTAAATGCAGGTGGTGTGTTGGGACCCAGGCAAAATCCGCGGTTTGGGATTGGCGGACGACTGGTCTTATGCCAACCAATCCCGAAAACTTCGAAATGTCCTGGTACACATGCTGTGATTATTTCATTCTTTTGTCAAGTCTGAATTACAAGTACATTACATTTGCAGAGGTCACTTCATGTAGTTTTCAATAATTCTTAGTGAGTTAACTTTTGTTTATAATTAGTGTATTTCCGTGCCACGTTATGCTTTCTTACTTATGTTTTTATAGGTGCTTTGAATAAACCATATATCAAAACAGTTTGTGTAAATCATGCCTAAACGAACCTTGCACACGTATATTTAAGTCACTATCTTAGACTTAGCATATATAAAACTTGTAGAGTATTATTTAAACGAGTCATTTAAATGAAATGCTAACTTCACCCAAAGTCATGTAAAAAAGTCTCACATTGTTACATCACAAATTTTAGTTAAATTCGCCGATCACTTAGCCGCTCTGATGTTTTTAACCATCTTTACTAGTTAGTTAATTAAATGGGCTACTAGTGCCCCTGCGTTATGCCTCCATTACGCAGTCATTTTTAAAATACTTTCGCCTGTCCCCTTTTAGAATATGCGCGATATTTTCCGTCTCGTGTTGACTACAAGCGTCAAACATCAAGCACGCGCTGTCCGACAATGGAGCCTCCGAAATCAGCGATGTTGTTAATTACAAAACTGTATTCTCTGAAACTAACTCTCCTAAGCCTCATGATTTACGAAACAGCAATTTCCACTCCAAAGGATAAATCAATGCTTGAACTTATGAAATCCGTACAATCTGGGAATGTCGAAAAAAGAACAAACACGTACTTTTTTGCCGATGTCGAAACCACCATTCACACAAACGCTGGGGAGAAAGCAGAACTACCTTGCCTAGTTTATGGTATTGATCTCTCTTCGACGGTGGTAAGTAGGTAGCATATTAATTTATGTTGAATTCTTTCTAAATGTGCAAGATGGAGAGGACGCTCTCGGTGATCTAGTCTCTAGTGCGGAATTTGGTAGAAAGGATAGATAAGTCTTTTTAGGAGTACTATGGCTGAAGTTAATATAAATACGTAGTTTGCAAGAAACATATATTTATGTATAAAAGTTTGTTGGTTTTCGTTAAAAAGCTGGATTGACAGACGCCTTTAGTCATTTAAAGTGAAATGCGGAGCATCCAATAAATACAGCCCGTTGTATAAGAACAATGAGAGTTTTTCATTATCATACAGGTAGATTTGAAAACGCTGTTTTCATAAAACTTGATCAAGATCATATGGGAGCCTAAGAAAGGCACTACAGTTTACAAGATCTGTGATAGCAACAGGGCAACAAATAATTTATATCTCAAAAAAATTTTTATAAGCTTTCCCTAAAATAGTCATAATTGCAGCATATTTCAAAATATTGCCACATTTCCATACATGGATATTGCTGGCAAACATCAGCTTACAATTACAACATTACAGCATTAGTCAAAATATTACAAATTTAAAGGCAAGGACAGAAAACGGTTTGTGTCTTCTTATTCGGACATGCAAAGACACTGGAAATCCTTCGGATAAGAAGTGACACGCCCGGTTGTATTCTGTAAAATATGTAATGGATTGACCGCAATGAATAATGCCAAATTCGAAAAATAAAAATTATTCATGGTTTTTTTCGTAAACAAATTTTTTTTTCACGAAAACTCGCGCGTAGTACCGAAGAAAATTATTAATTCAAAACAAAACAAGACAGAAAAGTCTAATTTTTATCTAAACTATCAGTTGCCATTTCAGCTCAAGGAAGGCCATATGTGCACATTCTATATTATTGCTACTTCAGGCCAGAATGCACATTCAACACGCTTATGGGTTTCTAGAAGAATATTGGTTATTCCCAAATAACTGATACATACTGGGGTACTACTTAGTGTGTAGGCTCTTTTGCTGTATCAAATGAGTAAAATACGACTGATGTTCGATAATAAGTTCAAGAAAGTGTAAGGTGACGTACAGATATGAAAGAAATACAGATGGTAGTTGGATTATCCTACTTGATATAAGTTGGACTGTGTTATCGCTGTATATGTGATTACAGACACTACCGGATGAATACTGTCAATCATTTAAACGTTTACTTAACACTGCCTACAAACTCGTGGCATATGCTTACAAAGGCGTGTATAATTAATTATCTTACTGGAATGACGAAAGAATGAACAGAACAAGTGATGTCCGCCAAATTTGCGGTTTGAACTAGGGATGGTTGTGATAAAACAGTCCGCAATGTCCAAATCTCGCGCTATTATGTCCTACGTTTAATAAAAGTATGTGTTGTTTAATATTACAAGTATACATACAGGTAGGTGCACAAAGTATTTTGAGTGGTTTAAATATTTTCAAATTAAATTGTTCTTCAAGAAAGCCCAGACCTACGGCCTAATTTTCTACATTTGGTCGCAATTTAAAACCGACTAATCTGTGCGGGCAAATTACTAGAAATGGAATACACTTCAATTTGCTTCCGTGAATTAATAGCCACTTTTCATATTCCACACCGACAGATTTACGTTTTACTTTCAAAGATCAATTTTCAACGCCACATTCATGCAGTACCTCAAAGAGGTTTTCTGCAACTATAAAACTAACTTCAGGAACAGTCTGATCAAGAGTTCGATTCCAAATTTTTAAGTGCGGTTTTTAAAGAGAAAAGAGCCGGCGACTGCAATTCGGTCTAATTAAAGCAAAAGCAAGGTTGATTTAATTGTTTCTACCATATTAACACGAACCTTGTGATTTTGAACTTAAAGGCTTTTGTCTATAAACGTTCTAGAATATAATCACAAACTTTACTGTAACACAGTCGTTGGTCTTTCTTTACCATTTCTTATTCGTGTGTATTTTTAATATTCAGCAGTCAAATTCTATATTGCAATCTGAGATTACAAACTAACACCTCCAAAAAATTTAAGCATTAAAATTATAAAGCATCGATAAGTATTTGGATTCGGACGTCCAGTAAAAGCTGGCACAACCCTAGCTGTACTGCTGTTAATATTTTCCAGATTTCATGGTGGAAAGCCGGCGATTTTCAAGAAATCTCTTTGGGCCTTGAAGCACGAAAACACCGCTTCTTTCTGCCAAGACGATTTTACGAAGATTGGACCCTCGTAATTGAAAACACTGAGAAAAAGGACACTGGATTTTATGCATGTCAGATCAATTCCGACAAACTTTTGGAAAAGATATTTTATTTGAACGTTACAGGTAAGGTCAATAAACGTTTGGTAGTTTGCTTTGTTAAATGTTCCTGTTAAAGTAAACATCTGATTATGGTTGGTTAAAATCAAATAGCTCACTCTCAGTTTAAAGATAGTGTGTAATTTGCGTTAAAAGCACTTACATCTGAATATTCACATAAACCATTAAATTTCTTTAAACAAGTTTGTTGTATTCTAATGCAATTTTAACAAACGTTAGTCAGCGCAGTGCATCTGATTTATTACTATTAGCAGTTTTATCGTTTTTTACACTTGAGTTTTTTATAACAGCATGACAAATCGGTTACTAGTGTCCCGATAACTAGTTTAAAATGAGGTAGTTCTAAAACACAGGACTATTTCAAGTTAATTTCTTAATTTACTAAAATAGTTTGAAACATGCTCAGAGCAACTACGCGTTTGGATTACAAGGTTAATAGTCACAGATGTGAATCTGTAGTCTTTAATAATAAGGAGACATAAGTGGGGCGGCCATGCAAATTTACGGTTTTCGCTGACCAACATAAATATTGTCTTTGCTATAATTGTAAAATTTGTAAGTTAGAATTTGCACGCAGTTATTGATATTTTTACTTTGACAACCCTGACATATCGTTACTTGCTTGCATTAAGTCGCAAGATGAACGCTTGTAAAAACACAGCAATTACGTGCTCGCGTCTAGATGATATTTAACGTACCGCCAAATGTTATCAAAATACTTCAGTCGTGGTTTTTAGCATATAAATAACGACACAGTAAGTGGTGCTTTAGAAGTAATAAGAATTAGACTAGCACATAAGCTAACCCATAGACGTTGTTATTCGAAAAATAAGCTGTAATTATATTGGTCAAGGGTTCCCAAAACACTTGAATACCACTGCTCTTTAGCAGATGCTTACAAAATCCGCATAGATTCGTGAAGCATTTTAGAGTGTTGTCTCGTAAAAGAATATTTGGACCCCATTGCGCACATGCATAATCCAGCAAAGACAAAAATATAGTAGTATTCGCAACGTTAACATATTTGTCAGTAAAACGCTGTTATCATGCATAAAAAAGAATTTGTTTATAGTGATCCATGCGGTTTTACTGCCTAGTAGATAGCAAAAGCTGAGTTAATTTCATATGTTAACATTATTCGTCTTCGTTTTTCTGTTGTCATGTTTTTCTACCTATTTTCCTATCAAAAACAAATTACCTTTGTATATATCCTCTTATACATAGAGCCATACTGCGCGTAGATGGCAATCGCGTTCGAGGGCAAATATTTCCTTTTAATTTGCTTTAGTTTTCATGTTTTTTTACCTTAGATCAGAATAAGTTAGGTAGCTGAGCGTTTTTGAAGTTCGGATACATCATTTATTAAAGGTCCCAATAGATTATGCACAAACAAAGCTCATGCGTTAAGATAACAAATTACTGATGTTTAGTCAGCTTGATGACCTTTTGTATTTTCGACGAACAAAATCCTGTCGAATGCATGAACATTTTTTGCAATTAGTAAAAATCGGTCTTCCTTCTAATCTTTTCGCAATTCCGTCGCATTTGCGGAAAAGGTCGTCGACGCACAAAATGCGGATGGTAAATTTAGCTGTTTAATGCTTAGGTGAGGTAAAACACGGTCCCAAATTATACAGTAGCTTGTATTGAAGACACTTAAATTCAAATCATATTTTTGTTATCCAGGGAATAAACGCTTGGAACTGCAGTTTCACGAGAGGCTTCCCGACGTTTATCAATTGACAAGCCCCATCATTTGCATATAAATACAGACAAACACACATCTAACCTATACAGGATGGTGCTTGAAAGACATAGCAATCGAACATATTCGTCTGGATCAGCACAAAAGTTGTCTATTCTGGTTAGACAGCTAAAACTTACAAAGCGCACAATAGTTTGAAACAAAATTTGTTTAAACATGCAATTAGCCAGTATATTATGCACTGCCGGTTTTTGTACTTCAGAGCATTGTTTTTAGTATAAAAGGAGAAGCCTGGCCGATAAAAGAGACTATTTGTCCAGTATTCTGTGTTTTGGAAGTTGAGCAGGAGTCCAGAATAAGCAATTACTTGTTAGGATAATGTGGTAGGCAGAATGAGTAGAATGGTCATTTTTCCAATTTGGAATGTGCAATTCACTGACACAAATTAGCCGTCGCGGATGAATACCAGAGTTGTGATCATGCATTCGCTTATGGCAGTTTTGCCGCCATGGCAGGGCTAAACGCATAATGGTGTTTTCTGTTAAATAAAGTGTGCATTTTGTTCTGTTAATCTTTGCAAATCATGTAAACTGTAATGCAATAATGAGTGCGTTGCAGACTTTCAGACTTTAGATACTGAAATATGGTGTGGGGAACATTGCACTCGTCCATAACAATGACTTCACTTAAATTTTGGAAAAATGATAAAGTGAAACAGTTATATGTCCTCGGTATTCAAAACGAGGTCAGTTAATGCATACAGAGGTTCAAATCTCAGTTAGTGCTGTATACCTCAAATATTTCTGCTTATGATTTTGCAAGAGCCATTGCGAAAGCAAGCACTTCATCCCTATTATTATTGCAGGGAATGTCCAAGAGACAACAGCGGACTCAGAATTCCTAAAAGATGAAGAACTGCCAAAATCTATTATAAAAGGTAAATTGTCTACTTTTTTACCAAACGTGTTAAATTTTTTGGAAATACAGACTAATGCAGTGCATTTAGACTAGAACACTGGGATATTTTGATCGATTAATAAATTTTTTCCCTTATGCAAATATTTTCAATTCGGCAAACATTCTACATGCCAATTCATTTTCCACAGAATTGTCTACGGTCCAGGCAGGGTAAATGAAAGATAATTTCTATAATTATGCTCAAATAAGGTAAAATAAATTAAATACCTAACTTAAAATAAAAACGCAAAGAGCCATCAAAAATGAAGTCCTACGAAACGTCAAACTCATGGGTATTCTTATAAAATTACAAAGAGTAGAAAATTTTAATTGTTTACAATTAGACTTTTTTAGCAAGACCGTTGACTGAGTATTAAATTGAAGTTGTAGCCTATCGATTGGCACACGTCAGAATAACTTCAATTAGAAATTCTAGTTTTAAGAAAATACTGCCCAGATTTTATTCTATCATTTTGATGCATTTTTGCACTGCATTGCGTGAAAATGTAGAACATGACAAGATCAAACCTTTTGACAATTATTGCGTATACTGCACCAGAACTACAAAATATGTCAACTTCACTGTAAAATCCAAATTATTTATTGCAAATTTTAAAGGTCAACGACCAATTAAACATTTAAATTAAATGCCGTTAGACACCAATGTAGTGCATTGCTTAATCGAACTTTCGGCGCTTTTTCAAATTGGATTGTTATCTAGATTAATTTAAAAAAAGCTGGATTACCGAATAATCTTGTAGGAATACTAACAGTGAGTAGGGGATAATGGTAATATTTAATCGTGATTTATAAGTGCAAATGTCAGTAAATTTTTATTTGTATGTAAAAGAGGGCACAAAAACGCAGCGTGTTCGGATGAATTATATTTTGTTTGAAATGTACTGGTTTGTTATTAAAATAAAAACAAACAGTTTTGTTTTCTAATCATACCGTGCGACGCATATTTGCCAAAAGGAATGCTCTAAACTAGGACATTATCTTATAAAAAAATTTACATATTCCGTAACATAAGAGAAGTCTTGTAGCAAAGAAAACCATTCAGATATGTTGGAATTCAACAGTTTCTTGCTTAGATGTGATTTACTAGGATGACTTTGCTTATTACCAACCATTTTTTCGCCTTGTGTGTGTCAATAAACTCCGCATTATTCTCTATGTTAATAAACGCCAATATGATGTTCTTCCTGCACTTATAAACCTGTAACTTGACTAATCAATTGGCAGATTTTTCTATTAAATCACAGCTTACATTAAAATACGTTAATTACATGTCTGAGGTTTTCATAAAAATAATGAAAATAACAACATGGTTTTAGTGGTTCTAATATGGACACAAAAATCATCTCAAGCGACCTCCATTAATCTCTACTGTGGATGTTTAGCGGCTAGACGACCCGGACCTACAAGTTAATTAAGCACGTGATTATTTCTCATAATGCATTACCGTAACGCAACATAGGGTTAAAACATATTACAGGTTATTGGCAAGATACACAAAATAAATCTCCATCCCTTAGTCTTTATAATTGTATTCTTAATCAAAAGTGCGCCAAAGGGCTTAATTGCACCCCGGAATTGTTGTCCTACAGAAAAAGAAAAAGTTACTGGTTGGCAGGAACTGCGATTTGACTTATGCTGACTTGTGACATAAGGTCACTGCCTTTGGTTTGTGTGAAATTAGTTAATCTATTTTCTTCGTGGATTTGCTTCATTCCTTTAAAAATTGAGAGAAAACGTTCAATTGATGTATAACTAAGCATTAATGTTACTGTACTGGAGAAAAGATAAAACCATCAATATCCAAAAGAGGGGATAAGTAAGGGTTAGAATTAACTTTGGACCGCAAATATGTCACTAAGTTGAAAGAGCCCTGGTCATGTACGGCAATTTAATAAAAAGTGTCATTTTACGTGTTCAACAAATGCAAAAAAGAATCTTATGGGCACTCGTAACATTCTTTTTAGAGAAAACCACAGCTAAAACTGCAGTGATAATTGACTGGAATAGTCTGCGCAATTAGTATGAGGTATAGGATACACAGCAGAGTTTAAGACCTGCGACGATCATTCTATTGAGGTATATGCAACCACCAACAGCACCATAACATGTTTTCCGCTTGTGAGCATCTGTAAATAAACAGATCAAATTTACACGAAACTATTTTTCAGGATTGTCAAGATTCTCGTGGTGGTATTCAGAAGATAACTTGGCCAAAATTTCTCCTTCTCGATAAATTCGCGCTAGGTCACTACCTATGCAATAAATGTGCTAACTCACGAGGTGTTGAACTAAATTATAAATGCATTTTTGTCTCGAAAAGATTCTTTATAAATTCAAATATATTCCGTAGAAAACACATATAGCAATATCTATTTGTTGGTTAAATTTTTAAAAAAATGGATTTTATTCAAATTAAGTGTTTTAAAGGAAGCTATAGTTAATTTTGAGAACCGTTCTAATTATGGTATTTTTAAGACTGTGAACTGCATATTTATGACGCATCCTGTCTCCACACTTACTACTTTTGTATGAAAAATCTACAATATGGCTTAAATCCACCTATAAATTTTATAAACCCCGAATAGTTTCCTCTAAATAACGTATAGAAATTTACGATTTTCCTTTCACGGAAAATATGGACTTTGTAGTTTGGTAACCCCGAGTGCAGGTATGAAATATGTCAGCTTTTAAATATTTCGAGTGTTAAGGGTTTTAAAGACAAATTATCCCCTTTTTAAAAGCATAGGATTGGAAGAATAGCAAAATAATGGATGGCATGACAAGGTTACTGAAATATCTTAGGATTATGCTGCATGATAACTAATATTACAATTTCACTTAAGTAACTTCTCGACGGATAAGTGCATTTCAGAAGTTCGTTTAACATTTAATGAGTAGTATATCTACTATACATAGGAACGGTGTAGAAATAAAAGATGTCAGCGACTAGAGAGAGAGATAAAAGTTTATCTTAAAACACGGAGACCGATCTCGTGCTCGCAAAAGAACCATTTTCAGGCTCCTCAACTACCGTGGTCAAAGGTAGTGTACTCGGCAACTCTTCATGCCCTTCCCCTCTCACTTCGTCATTGGAATTGGCCGTTATTATGTCCGTCCCCTCTTATATTCTCACACTTGGCTTTTGTCTTAAGACAGCCAGTCCTTTTTATTCTACCCAGTTCCAATTAAAATGTGCTGGCCTGACGAGAAATAATCGAAGACAAGCATATACTTGCAAACTGAGCTCCTGAAAACCATGTTTAATAATATCCCGTAAGCCTGCACTGGTACTTGGCTGAGCAAAACTAATAACACATTTGCGTGCGGCCACTCAGCTGGATGTAGAACAATTGGTAAGGCAATCCGATTGGTATTAAATTTCTGATTTTTGAGGCGTTAAAGAAAACTCATGGATTTAAAATAACGCATAAGATACGAAGGCACATGTATTAGTGGTAGGGGGCGCTCACCGATCGTTCACACGGAACTCACTCGTTCCGTTGTGCCTTAAGGGCTCTCTCTCGAGCCCAACCAGCAGCCGCACAGCGACGCATGATATATAGGCAGAATGGTATTACCGACAAAGATAAGGGAGACTGGACTGACCATTTCTGGCTTATTAGCCGTCATCAGCCAGCCATAACCAAGCCCGAAGTGTGGAACACCCGAGCCTCGAACTCGCGACCTGTTGGTTTAGAAGTCCACGCCTCAACCCACCGGGCCACGAGCCCGTATTAGTAAGTCAACATATCCGTTCCTTCAATATATTATAATTTGTCAAGTTCCCGGCGACTCAGTCTGCGGAAAAAGGTATTAGGCCTATTAGGGCATATTTCAAAGCATCGATTTTTCACGCAGAAAGTTTTCTGGTATCGAGGCACAACTAAAGTACTGAACGGTTAGACACTTACAGTGAATTATTGATGACTTTCCACGGCCACGAAAAATGTATTAGGAAACTGCAAGTCAAATCTAACTGAAAACGTTACGTGTGTTTATAACATCCTACTGGGGTCCGCCTGAATTCGGTCCAATGCACTTTGAGAAGAAAATCCTAGGCGAGCTGATCGATTACTCGCACACACGGGCCGATCAAGCTCGAGAGGTGCAGCCAATGAGAAGGCACCATGATCATGCTGACAGCGCGCTAGAGCAAACGCGCGTGGCCCCGACTGTATTACTGGCCCTTGTTCTTGGAAACGTAGACATTCCCGACAAAAAACAATTTAGCTGCCAGCGATATCGAACAATACTTGCGCACCAAATAAGACTTGAAAATGAATTTCGTGCAATAGATCACTTGCAGACCACAACGTTTAGCGTTTACCAGTCGGGTGAAATGTGAAAAAATCTGAAGGGTTTATTTACGTACTTCTCGCAGCAGGAGGCCAGTAAGTTTAACTGATACCGGATGACGCCACAGATAATTTTCAAGATTACTCAGAGAGGAAAATTTGAGTTCATATTGCCTTAACGCAGCGTACCAATAAACAAAAACTCGGCGTTACCGCTGTTACTCACCACCTCTACACTGTACTGCCTCACTTCTTTTTTAATGGCACATTTTATAGTAATCACTAACAGATTAAGCGGATGTTTGGAACTTTTTGAAGACCTTGTATTGCACAGTTAATAGACTGGTCGATACGCTGGCAACAGCAATTGTGAGAGGCTTTTGTTGATGATATGTGCATTGAATAAATTCTTTTTGATCTTGGGAAGGCCAAATGAAACGCTTTAGTTTGTTTGGAAAGGTTTCCGAAATGATAGTGGAACGTTGTTGTTTGGATAAAGATTTCAAGTGTGTTACGTTCAAAACATGACTCAAGCATGAGAACTATGGCAAAGCGGTCGCTTTAAATAAGGCATGATATTCTGCAATCTAAACTTAGGCAATAATTGCGCTGCGCACAGTATTTTGCCCAAATAATAGCCGCGCTGTTGAAACGAAAAATGAATTCATTCGTGCTAACAACCGGTCAAGCCTAGCAAGTTTTAGACTTTTCTTGTGTTTTCAAAGGTAAAAGACTGTGAAGGCCATCTAACAGAAAAAACTGTTCCACTTGCACTTAGCGTTATCCGCAAGCTAAATAAATGTTGAAATAAAGTCATATGTTAAAATTCACATCGTACAATTTAATTTTAATATACACATTCCGTACAATCTGGCCCAGATGGGGCAGACTATGGTCGATTAAAATACTTCCAGCAGTGTTTTCATTGTTGGATATTGAAAAAGTTAACTTTAAAAAACGTAAGGCTAGACGGTTCCTGACAGAACATAAAAACCACTCCGCCTTCCCTCCTTACATAATCAAATCTTTAATGACATATTGCACGGTTCTTGTCCACTTGTTTCATTTAATCTGTTTTCAGACGCGGAAGTTATACCTCAGAAGGCAGTGGAACCGGTTACTTTAGCAGGAACACCAACCACGAAAATCGCTTACGGCCAAACCAGCAAAGCAATTTCCCACACCTTTGGGTGCATTTTGTCTTTCAGTGGGATGTTTTTGAAACTGTGCATTACAAGTTAAGAACATGGTTCCAGTTATTCATTTTGTCTACCATTGCATTCAAAAACGCCTTAAAATATACTCGCTTATGTGCGGTGCCTGCTTTTCCGGCAAACACAAACGGCTGGCGTTCCGAGTTTTGACAGACGGACAAAAAGTATGTGAAAAGTTGAAACGTCGGAACAGCCGAAAGACGCGCTGCAAGACCGTTAATGTATGATTGAGATTTCATTTTTATAAAGCAGACGCGCAGTGTTGGCGTTTAGATCTTTTTCCGTATTATATCAGGTTAGTTGTGAATAGGATTCCTTAAAGGTCTTTATTGCACTCTAGGCGGTCCCCGTCATAGAAGCAAGTAACACAGAGTCGTGAACCGATTACTTTTACAGTAGTCGGCGTATGTTGCATAAAAAACTTTTTTCATCGACAGAACTTTTTATTTTTATACAGGTTATTTTTTCCCTCAAAATTATGTATAATACGTAGCACTTACATACTCTGGTCAGAGTGGTTTGGAGGTAAGATAAGGCTAGTACGAACGCTCATTTTCAATTTGCCCAGACGCTGGCAAACACAAAGGCCATGTGTGCAATATTTTTTTTGTCAATTATAAATGATCCATAATTTGTTCATAAATGTATACTTTCAATAGTTATAAATTTCACCATTCATCCAAAAGTAGCCATTTTTTCATAACTAAAAAATTCCTCTGACCAAAAAATAAATCAGATTGTAGTATTTTGCTTTACGCTGCAGATGCCAGATGATAATCTTCCGGGCTTCGATCGATTTTATCAGGTTAAACATTGACTGGCATGACGAACCCTAAATTTCTTAGGAATCAGTGCCCACGATGACTAAATACTCAGGTTCAAGAGGCATACACAAACAAAAATTTACATTAAGCACTAAGAATAAAAACAAACGGTAAATCAAGGATTTGCCTAATGCCTAACTTTAGCATCCATTAAAATAAGGCCGCAAGTAGCTTTCAAAAGTGGAGGTGCTTTTTATGTGATAAGTATCGACATAAGACCAGGTCGGCAACATCTAACTAATAACTAAATAACAGAACTCTAAAGAATACGTATCGCATAATCATATCGACACTGGATTATACTCTAAAATAATCTGAAATTGAAGCATACCTGATTACTACGTAAAATTTTTTAATTCACAGAAATACCCCTAGTGATTCAACAGAAACTCTTCATAGTCGATGCGTTTTGACGGCAGGAACGATAGTTTAGCAAGAGTTGGAATGGGGTAGTACCACTGATATATCGGGAGGACTTATTACGTGAGTAATTACGAAATATTTCAATCCGCCTGAAGCCTACTGGGTTACAAACACTTACTTTAGTCAAATCGTACACGGTTTGTGTCTGATTGTATTGACTTATGAAGGGTCTACAGCATACGAAAGTGGGCATGTTTAAAATACGGATAAAATATCCTAAACTACGCTATAAAAACGTTTAGCGTGACGATTTTGGACGCCTCTTGATCAAGTACAGTTATTTGCGGCTTGTAAGGCTATTTGAAAATGTTGTAGCGGTCAGGGAGAACGAATTAAAGTAAGGAACACACAACGGCCCATTTTTTCTATTGACAGAGGACAGAGATCTGTGGATGCAAGTACATTCTGTAGAGAGGTTGGGTTAGCGTGAGTTGTTGGCTGGGTTTTAGGGTCAGAACGAGGCGCAAGCTGGGCAGTGCATGAGAAGCGGTGTCGGGTTTGCGCGAGTCTGACGTCTTTGTGTCAATTTGATTGGTGGAGTCGGAGGATTGTATGATCACAGTGTCCCAGGAGTCAAGGTCAGGCCAGTGGGGAAAAGCCAGACCGCCCGACCCACGTGAGGTGGCGCAAGATCGTGGGCGCGGCTGGAGCTAGACGTAGCTGGACAACAGTCGTCTCGCATAAAACCTAAAGAGTGTTTGTGTGTTAACGGCACGCCTGTGTGTTAGCATACTGGCTGATAATAACGATACAACAAGGTAAAGGAAGCAGTTCGGAAGAAGATGCGATCGCTGAAACCAGGTTTTTCCAGACATGACGTTTCGGATACTCACACCTCTCTATCAGTTAAGACCGTCGCAGATAAACAGGGTGGTGGCGCAAGGGGTGCAGGATTTATAGCCCGTAGTTTCTACATGACCACAGGCCAACTATAACTGACAACTTCCGCAATCATTGTTGTGGTATCAAAGTTAGTACGATGAATACTTATTGTTTCGCACCCGAGTCGTAAATTAGCCAAATAAAATCGACGTTTTAGATTTTTGGCGTAATAGCTATTCAACAGTTCTGTTCACCGCCAACGGTAGTGCCTGTCACCTCCACCATTCGTGAATGGCTAGGTACTATGCGCACGAAGTCTCTACACAAAATATGCGGCCTGTAGGTCATTGCTCTCTTTTTTGACACAGGGGTGGAAACCATGTTTGAAGCAGCTCGCGGCTCACGCGGTTGTCGCCTTTTGCATGAATTTCGATTTAATCGTTCTTGATGGTGTGGCCGTGTGCCGTCGAATGAGCCGCGAAATGAGAGTTATAGTCATTTGTTTCCATTGTTGCTGCATGTCCGTGCATTCATATTCGTAGAAATCTCTGAGTTACGGCGGCGTGGTTGATTTGTCTGCCGGTGCACTTCATTGGCAAATGACACCAAACGTTTTTTGTCGTGGTAGTGAATCTTGCGGTTTCGTGACTTAGCGCTTGATAGTGGCTTTTGGTCTGCATACAAGTCCAAATATAATTGGTATGAGCAGGCGGCTGTCGGCATCCGTGATGTTTCTTACTTGCGAGCGCCCTCGCTAAAATTTTGGAAAGTTTATACTGGGTCTCTCGTCTCGTTTAAGCAAACGCCGATTGACAAAGTTTCACGACTAACCATCCACTCTGAGCACCCCTCGAAGATATTGTAGCTCAGCAACTTTGTCTGTAATGCGCCGGTATAGCGCCCTTTATGCAATTGTGTTCGTCAATGATTTGGGTGTTGATTGCTGAAGTTCAGTACTTATGTCGTATTTATCGCCCTCCTGAACATATTAGCCTTTGATCATTACGTCAAACGAGGACATCAAGAAAAGCCAGTTGGTTGATCTCTTCTCCCTCCATCGTAAAATTTGGTCCAATAAGACAGCACTGGGAAGTTCTCTGGGTGTTAACACTTACGTCCCGTCCGAAGACAACAAAGGTACCATACATCGACTGAAGCCACCATTCTGATCTTTTGTTTCAAAAGGCCGGCGACTCTGACGGTTGCAAGACAGTTTTATCTACGAGTTTTGAATTGGTTTGCGGTTCACCTGCTCGTGGGTCGTTCCGTTAAAAGTGAAGTAGGTCTAAAGGCGGAACTTTTGAAAATAGGGAACTTCAGAGTGTTACAGGCAATTCTTTGTTTTATATTATTCATTTCCATATTAATTTGATGGGCTCGGCTGCAAAATCTTGTGACACAAATGTAAAGGTGTCATAACACTTAGTGACACCATGACGTCTTTTAGAAGAAGGTCTCCCCCTCTAAGCTTCCCCAACAATTGTGTTCAGGAGCCGACTGGAATATCTGAATCGATGATCGAAAATTCAGAACGCATGAGCAGCCACTTTCCTAGTCGGTAACTTGGATTGACTTTCTGTGAGACGGTGTGTCGAAAAGAAGCGCCCTTCTTATGCACAATGGAGAAACAACTGAATCGAAGCAAGGCTTTTTCTTGCGCACTTGCCATACGCCGGCCAATCGGTAATATTACACCTGAGTTCCATATTGCCATTAACGTCGCCTTGGTTTTAGGTGCAGAGTAGCAATCACGCCAACAATCCGAATTCCGCAACTAACGACTCAGGTGCAAACTAACAAGAATTCAGCGCATCAACTTCGATGACACAACGATGAATGTGAAAGCTGCCAGTTAAAGTAGGCATGCGGTTGTATGGAAACTTTGGGCTATAAATACTGCCACCGAGTCTGGGAGCGAATGTACATGTCAGACGAACAAAACCCCTACTTTTATTTAAAATTGGCATGGTTTTCGCGACCACCGACTGAAAACCAGGCGACAGAAAATATAGCACTGTAGCGGCTCCATTATTAGTAAAAATGGGGTTGCTATAGATAATAAAACATATCAGAAAAGATGCATTTGTTTAAGTAGAATTGACAGAAATTAAAATGCTTCCTATATTATTTCAGTTTTGAGCCACGTTTTAAAGGCCGATGTCGTTTTTGTTACATTTCCTTGTGGACTAAGCGTAAACGAATGTTACATGTGTACACATTTGGTTGATATATCTGTTTTAGTGGTCACTTGCGAAATGGCTGCTTATGTGGCGGTTTGCTCTATGATTGCTTTTGGAAATGTGGGAAGAATCATTGAACCCATCTCTAAAGAATGGCCCGGCTGAACGAGCTATTGCTTTCTAATAGTTACAGTATTTCGGAATTATTTTGGATCAAGAAACGAACGATATATACGGGGGTTAATCGATCAAAGGCCTAAATACAGTGTCACTTTGCTGACTCATCTTCACAGAAAATGAGAATGACGCTTTGTCTCATTATCTACGAATGACTTATTGCTCATGCTATTCAGCCCTGTCCCAGACTAAGCAATATTTTTTGTCAAACGTTTTTGAATCGTGGCCCCCGTATATTTGGAGTGACAAATGAAAATATTGCACTTGTTCGACTTAATTAGTCACATAATCTGGGTGATTAACAAACATAAATATTTACATAGACACACAAGGTCTTGGAGTTCTGATAAAGTTAGTGTGCATGAGAACGTGTTTTTACTTTTAAAATGAGAAATTAGACATTTCGAAAAGCTAAGGAGCAGAATAACAAAATGATTAGGGAAATAGGCCCTATGCGTTTACCAACGCTGAGCAAACTGGCAAGAATGAATTGCAGGAGAATAATCCCGCAGCATGGGCCAGTTTTTTTGTTTTAGTTTATCCGGCAGCTTCCGAATTCACTTTTAGTCGTAGTTTTTATTAGTGACGAAAAGTGGACCCCT